TTCCAACTTGCTTTAACCCCTCCAGACAAGCGGGGTCAAAAAAGCCCCTCCCATAGGCATTGTTAGCCCGCAATTGCCAGCGAGACCCCCCAATGACGAGGTCCTACCTACTAATTACTACTATTATTTTGACACTTGACGGCACTCTATAGCATTACCTCCCGATCTGCCTCTCGTGCTCTTTCCTTCCTACTCTGGGTCTTCAACCAACAGGGACCCTTACGACAGATGTCCGGCCTCCCCCTCTTTCATTTCTTTTGATTCTCTGGCCCGGTCCGGATGTGTGCATTCTTCTCTCCGCCTTCGAGCTCGAAACTATCACATTGCGAGGATCAGTGGCCTCTCATTTGTATAACCGGACAACGCCTACCGATATTGTTTCTATTCCTACTACGTACCGCAACTGACGATTTCGGACTGTCGTCTTGACCCACTCGACTATTCGACATCATCGTGCTTCTGTCGTCGTCTCGAGCTTAGAGAGGGGCAGGAATTTCCCTCATCCTTTCCTTCCGGATTGACCTGTTCATTCCCTTCTTCTGCTTCGTACGCGATCAATTGACGGTGTACGATCTGCTACTGCCGATATCCGGGTTCTCATTGTTCGACGCTGATCGCCAGTAGGGGTATTCGTCGGTTCAAGAACCGTTTACTTTCACACAAGAACTTCTCAAGATGTAGGTTCCGGCGGCGCATTAGGAATCCTTTTCTCTTTTTTTTGATGGCGCAAGTAATACTGCTTTCAGGGCATTATGGAGCTGATCATTATTTTCAATATATAGGAAGTTCGGGAAGCAGATTCAACGAAGGCAGCTTGATCTTCCGGAGTATGCCGCCAGCTTTGTGAACTACAAGGCTCTGAAGAAGGTCGGTCCTTTTTGGTTACAGACGGTGGCTTCCTTATTGCTGACTAGCTTTCTGCGAATAGCTCATAAAGCAACTGAGCGCGACGCCCAAATTGCCCGCGCAGGCTACTGCTGCAGGACAGGATGCTCCCGATGCGCAAACCGCCCTTCGCGCGAATAAGGAAGTGTTCTTCTTCCGACTTGTATGAATTTGCAATCACCGATGCATGTGCCAATACTGAGTAACCGTCAATATAGGAGCGTGAGATTGAAAAAGTCAATACCTTTTACCTACAGAAAGAATCCGAGGTTTGAATATCCTGTCCTATCGGGCAAAACCAGTGTCCCCATATGACGATGGCTGACTGGAGGATAGTTCTCTCTGCGCTTGAAAACCCTCTTGGACAAGAAACGTGTCGTTCAGTCTCGGGCAATGTCGCACTCCAAGGCTCCAGCCAATTTCGTGGCCTTGATCGAAGGGTTTCAACAGTTCGATGGCGACTTGAACAAATTACAAGTGAGTGTGCCTCATTGGAATTAGCTTTTCGGCTCTCTGGTGCTAATACGGTGTATCTTCTCTGCGATAGCAATTTGTCGCAATAAATGAGACTGCTATGTCCAAAATTCTGAAAAAGGTTCGTCACCCAAAACGGAGAGGTTGACAAATTACTGGAAACCGCGGCTGACGGCATATGTAGTGGGATAAAACATCAAAGGTTGGAACGAATTTATGCTCTTTGCATTGGGTACTACCCTTTTTTCCCGTGTCCCAGACTCACAAATTATTCTTCTGGTAGTCTCGCATGAAGGAGCTGTATCTCCATCGAGCCGTCGAAGTGCAACCTTGTTTCAATCGAGACGTCTTGCGTGATCTTTCAGACCGAGCAACCACAGCTCGCCTAGAACTCGAAGCATGGGCGGAAGGCGAAAATATCCAGTTTGATACAGCCCGTCCAGCTGACCGGGTTGGTCCGCCTTTTGGGACCGACGAGGAAGATCTCGATGCGCAAATTCTGCAATCTGCCACTACCGGCAATCTGCAAACCCTACGCGAGTGGACTGCCAAGCTTCATACTGCCCCCGATGCCCGGGATCGTGCGACTCGGGCCTTTCTCGCAGCAATCAACGAATACTCCGATGAAGTGCTTGTAGTTCTTCTGGAGAGTGGATTAGTTGATATCAATGCCGAAGATGATATCAATGAACGAAATTGCTTACATGAAGCCGCCATTTCAGGGCGGGGCTTTGTTTTCAAGACAGGTATCTCAGCAGGGGTCGATGTGTCCAGAGCAGATGTGTACGGCAGGATACCTCTGCATTATGCTTGTATGCATGGTCGCGTTGATATGGTGCGCGAGCTGTTGGCTGTTGGCCCTGATACTGTAGACACCGCGGATCACAACAATTTTACACCGTTGATTCATAGCATCGTCAAGAATCAGTTGACATGTGCTGAGCAGCTTCTCCAGCACAATGCTCGCATTGGACCGGCATCGGAATCAGACCATATTCCTCTCAACCTCGCCTGTCAGCACGGCTCAATACCGATAGTCAGAATGCTTCTCGAACGAAATGCCCAACTGCTTCCGGACGCTGAGGGACTCTACCCTCAGCACATGGTTGCACGTGCTTCCCAGCCCCCAGAACTATTGCTCCTTCTCAAACAGCACGGAGCTGATATGGACCAAAGGGACAAGTTGTATCAATGGACACCGCTTTTCCACGCAGCGAGTGAAGGTTGTGTGAACTGTTTGCGTACCCTACTAGAACTCGGGGTCGACGCCAGTGCTGTCGATGAGAAAGGGCTGTCCGCGATGTACTATGCCGCATGGGAAGGACACCTGGAATGCATGCTCCTTCTGTGGTCTCATCGTAGTGAGTCACAATTACCTCAAAAGCCCCTCGATATCCTCAATGGCTTGAGGTTGCAGGAACCAAGTTCGACTACAATGAATCACGAGATAGCGGACTCGGGTGACATGGACACTGCTGATGGCATTCCTGACCTTTCGCTGCCCCCACCCATCATTCCTTTGAGACGCTACGGACACAACTTCCTGGATAAGAAAGTATTTGTCCAAATTCTATTCGAGCCAGGTAGCTCAGGCTCGCTTTGCTTTGACCAAGCAGGTCGCCATCCTGCTGCTCGCTTAACCATTTCGTCGAAGCTTTCCGATTTAATACCTCGCACAATCATGCTCCCTATTCAGGAAGATTCGAGGACCATCTCATTTCATGTCGATAACCTAGAATCATTTGCTGTTGATTTTGAGGTCTTTCCTACCTTTGGTTCGAAAGTGATTGCGAAAAGTGTCGCTCTACCTACCGTGTTTAGGGCCGAAAAATCCAGTACCGGGTCATGTACTCTGCCACTCTTTGATCCTAGACTACGCTCAATCGGCCAGTTACGGTTCGGCTTTCAAGTCATCAAACCTTACCATGGTGATCCTCTCGAGATTACGCACTTTGCGACATATTGGAAGGCGACCAGTGCGCTCGACTCTGAACACAATGGCCTGGTGACAGGGTCTAGCTTGTCAGGGGATCATGTTCAATTATTTGTACAGCTCACCAGGGACAGAGTACCTGTGCTTTATCCGCGATTCACCATTCAGCATCATAGTGTGGAAATACCCATCTGCCACCTGTCATTCAATGAATTCAAGTCGGTCGGCGCTGAGAGAGGCGTGAATCAAGCTGAGACGATACAGTTCCTGAAAGAGAACGCTACCAACAATATTGCACAAACCCATCGTCTTCTTGCAGCATCCTTTTTTTCCTTGCGGGAAGTACTGCGGCACCTTCCGATCAGCGTCAGCGTCAATCTATCTATTCTCTATCCGTCACCTGCCGAGGAACGCGAACTGAATATGACATCTCTAGCCGACGTCAATAGCTTCGCGGATGCCATTCTAACTGAGGTATTCGATCATGCGCGTGTTGCAAGAGAGCACAATCCGGACTTCTTACGTTCTGTCGTCTTTACCTCGTATAATCATAATATATGTACAGCTCTTAACTGGAAGCAGCCGAACTGTAAGTGATTGCTATCGCACATGCCTTGGTTTCTATGGCTAATCCTGAGCTCCGACTATTAGTTCCGGTACTGCTTTGCAATGATCTCGGCCAAATTCGGGACTTGGCTCGGGATATTGGCTCCTTGCCAGATGTAGACAGCAGTGGCCGAACGTCAATGTCAATCAAGGAGTCAGCACGTATTGCGCAGAGCAACAACTTCATGGGCTTAATATGCCGCTCTAGTCTTCTGGTACGTCGTTATTCCCCCCTTTCGTTATCGCGTACCCACAATGTCACAACCTACATTCGACACCAAAAAATTGAGAGATTTACAGCTAACTTAACGTCCATGACGTGTTATAGAATGTTGTCCCAGCTCTTGTGGAAACAATCAAAGGCCTTGGTCTCGTCCTTGTAGCCGATACATCCGACGAAGATGAAGAACCAGAGAGAAAAAATCCTCTGGCAGCTGCTGATACCATGGGTGTCGCCGAGTGGGCATACCGAATGCCTGACGGTGTCAATGGTGTTATGAAAGCCAACGGCATTCTGAGATTCAACGACATGATTGACATGTAGTGCTCTGTTTCTTCGTCTCTTGTCTCGATCAGTTATATTATGGTCCATATTTCCGCCATCTTTGATCAACCTTGGGTGGATGTTCATTGAGTCGTTGTAGACATGTTATTGCTTTCCATTCCCTGAGGGCTTTTGACTTCATCTGTCGCTGGCTCCTTGTTTTCGCTTTTCTACTGTTTGGCGTCCCCGGTGTCTCTTCCTATCTATGGAATCGCTGTTGTCTCTACCGGGGAACGTAGTCGATGCCCGGCTATATCATGTCTACTTTTCTTTTGCATATCAGCTCTATTGGTTACTGTTCAACAGCATCGCTTGAGAGGAATACCCCGGCTGGAAATGTGCAAGTGGGCAAGAATATGGTGCGACGTCTCTTTGATATTAGATTTTGCAACTACAACCATTTATAATACACCTTCTAGTCTTACAACTCGCTATGCCAATAAGAATAAGAGTAGAGAAGACAATATTTGCAAAGACATGATCATTTTCCACAGTAGGAAGTGACCTAGGGCTCAACGACATGTTCGAAGTGCACTTCGCTAGGAGCGATTCCGGAGCTTACATGCCCCTTGGCCTCCGCTTCGCGAGATCCCACCCCCATACTCTTAGGACCTTGACGACTTTGGGGGTTATGGCGGCGGTCAGGGGTACGCGAATGAAGATGAGACTCTTGTGAACTGCATACGCCAGGGCGAGCTGAGTCCACAAACCTGCGCAAAGAAAAGAATGTACGGATCAGCAAAACTTCAGCGAAGAGACAGGGATTAAGACAAGTCAGGGGGCATCATACTGGGTCCGTCGCCATTATTCTTCTTCTGAGCTTCTGCGGTTTGCTGGCCAGACTGGGCAGCTGAGACCTCTTCCTGGCTCTGTTCCTCCGGTGCAGACTTTGCTCCGAATAAGCCTTTGACTGTTTCGACGACGACATGTTCATAGTGGCCTATTCGTTCTGCGCCCAAATGGCGGACCGCAATGAAACAGAAGGGAAAATCCATGGCTGATAACAGCAGGTAAACACCCAGCGCAGCCCAGCCATACTCCCTGGACAGCTTTTTCAGCCGCTGAGACAGCGAGCCTGACTCAGCCGGCCGTGCCGATTGATTTGCCCTCGATGAGTTGAATCGCCGGAAGATTGACCGTTGCAGAGTGCTGGGGGGATTGTATGTAAAAGTAGTAGTTGACCCCGATCGGCGGGGAAAAAATGGATATTGTGGATTGGACTTCCAAGCGGGGAAGGAAGCAAATGCTCGACGAGAGGGGAATGAAGCAACTACATTGCTCGTAAAAAGTGTCTGTGAAGATGTGACATTCTTTCTGAAAAAAGATGATGAGGGCGCATGGCCGGCTTGATCGATGAAGTGCGAAAACCACCGCGGTGTAGATATGAATTTCAAAGACATGATTAAGAGGGTATTGCAGGACCCAAGCTGTTGAACAATTGGCCTTAGAAGATTTAATTAACAAGCTGAAGGGCGCCTGTCAGGAGTTGTTGCTTTCACTCTTAATGACGTGCCACGAAGGGAAGAAAATAATAAGCTACTAATTGAGGATTCCATACAGTTTCCGGTGCTCGGCGTGCCGATACGTCCGGGCGCCGGGATGACATGCTCTGCATGACTCTGTGCAGGCGACGGATACACCTGGATAACGATCTTCGCCCGGACTTAGCATAATGAAATTCCATTTCAATAACTTGCTTCCATCAGTACCGTTCCTCTTATCATCTGTACTAGTGCTTGGTGAGAGATACGCCCCAGTAAGGACTCCCATTGGCCGTTGTATATTTACCCGATATTGACACCACAGGCAAAACGCCGTTGACCGCCTTAGCCCTTCTCCGTACGCTCTCCGCAGCTTGGGAAAATCTCAAAAGAAAGCCGAAGGGACGAGACTGTTTCGATTATCATTCAATCACCGGTCAAACGATCACTCATTATGTCGCCTCGACTGTCAAGGAAGCTGATGCAGCTTCCTATTCTCTTCCTGGGTCCTCAATCGCTCACTATCACTGGCAATGTGTCTGTACGATCTTTCGGTATAAAATCATTAAATCCACCTAAACCCTCTCGGTTCAATATCGGTCCTGAATTACCTGTGCTTAAGTCGACGACTACGGCTGCTTTGGAACGCAAGGCGAATACTCTACCTCTCCGGACCGGTGCCATCGCTATCAAGAAAGGAATGACCGCTGTATACGATGCCGAAACTGGGAAACGCATCGCTTGCACTGTTCTGCAGCTCGATCGAGTACAAGTCGTCTCACACAAGACAAGACAGACGCATGGCTATAATGCCGTTCAGGTCGGTGCCGGTTGGAAGCATCCCAGCAATGTGACGAAGTCACTCTTAGGCCATTTTTCGACCAACGGTGTCTCGCCAAAGAGACACGTTTACGAGTTCCGTGTCAAAGATGAGAGTGGCCTCTTACCTGTCGGCCAAATAATCAATGCAGACTGGTTTCAGGAAGGTCAGTATGTCGATGCCCGGTCCAACTCTAAGGGTAAAGGGTTTGCCGGTGTGATGAAGCGACACGGCTTCCACGGACAGGACCGCAGTCACGGTGTCAGTTTAACCCATCGGTCGCTTGGTTCAGCCGGGCCTAGTCAAGGTGGTGGTTCCAGAGTGTATCCCGGAAAGAAAATGGCGGGGAACATGGGTAATGAGCAAAATACCGTGCAGAACTTGAAAGTTCTTAAGGTTGACGCAGAGAACGGTATTGTCGTTGTCAACGGTATATTTCCCGCTACCCAACGTTCAATACAGCATTGTTAATGGTCGATACTGATCTTGTTGCAGGTTCCGTCAGCGGGCCTAAAGGATGCGTAGTCAGGATCCAGGACGCTATCAAAAAGCCCTGGCCAGAGGTTGCACCTGTATCCGAATCGGCTGCATAGCCCATGAGGAGATATTGGAGTCTTGTCCCCTTCAATGTACTATTACACTATCCTGTTTCTAGAGCGGCGTCTGTATATGATACATAAATGATATCCTGTTTGGCATTTCCTCCGAATCACTCGAACGGTTTCTCCACACGCTATAGCCGGTGGAGCTGACAGTTCGAAGCCGAAAAAACGCCTAATCCTATGCATGAAGATTACTCCGATGTACAAACCTATAAAAATCATGTGTGCCAATGATCCTCGGTGGGGTTTTATGTCCGAATGGTGGTTCAATTGCTTTGGGAAAAAGGGTCACTGTCATGGTCAAGGAGCTGCACGACTTGGCCGTCCTCCGTCTCTAGGCTCCATTCTTCAGTGCGAAACTATTCGGAAGCGATAGCTGTTAGCTGGGTCTTGAAAGTGGTGTATCAGGTAAAGTCACGCACAAAGCTCATGCGGTCCGGCCTAATGCTTCGGAACCGCATTTTTCCCTGAGCCTTTGTCCCCTTCACCCAAAAGGAGATATCAATACGACCATGAAGCTGATTCATTTCCCCGCTAATCCACGGTATCTTTTGAGCAAAGTAAATTTCGTCTCCCAGGATTTCCCGTGCACGAGGTGAAGTTCGAAGGGCATATAGCGTGCTGCTCACGACGCTCGACGACGACTTTTGGTAATTAAATATGCCAAGCATTGCAGCTCCCACAACTACCACAAATATCGGCAGCGTCTTGATCCATCGGCGCTTCTCAGTATTGATAGAAGGAAGCTCTCGATCCGCCCGTCGCTCCATCAAAGGGCCCGAGTTGGCCTTGGGGGCGGGAATGAGACTGCGGTGAGGAGGCATATTGCGGCGAGGAAACAGGAAGGCTCGGGGAACGCCAATGCGCCTTTGCGCAGTAAGAAGCGCCATTATCAGATCAGTTGCGAAAGGACTAACAGGAGCAGGGAAAAGACGAGTAACAAGTAGGCAACCGTTATGCAGTGAGTGGTAGCCCAGATGGTAGAATGTCCTGCACCAGCGACTACCTAAAAGAACAAAGTTGCCAAACAAGACAAACCAACCCTCCGAGCCACCGCCGTTGTACGTCACGCTGGATTGTCTTAAGGAGGTCCTTCTCCTCTGTTGCCAAAGAGCTGCCTCAACTTTCATGCTACGGCCTCGGTCAATATAGCTAGACATCTGATTCATGGCTACTACAAGACTTCGCAAAGCGTTTCGATACCCTGATGATTCAGGTGATGATGAACAGGGCCGAGAAGAGCTAGACGAAGAGGGTCTGTTATGTGTCTTTCATCGTATATACTATATACTGATAGAGATTTGTAGAACAAGACGTCGTAATTAGACAATTACAGGCACAGAATGACAAGCGGAATTCCGAGTATACTGTGAACTCTCCTCTATCCTTGTTGACATTATCAGCACAGAAATCAGAGCTAAATATGATGATGCATATAGGTCATCTTCTCGGTCATTCCCCTCTTGTCAGCAACGATATACGTCCCACCGATTATCTCAAGCTCATCGGCTTTATCTGAACGGTTTCTCTCCATTCTAAGTGTCATTTCCCTGTTGTTGACGGCCTATACTATGAAGTATCATGCAATCGAGCGTGCAGACCCAAAAGGGAAAAGGCCATTCACAAAGGCAGACCTCATCACGTCTGCCCAAAAATATGCCATCCCTACTAACGCTGCATTGTGTGCATTATTGACGCTTGCGTCTATCATGGCCTCGCCGACTGCGGTCGTTACATATTTCATCCCGGCAGGTGAGTCTCGGGCCCGCCACTACCTTCTAGTTGACATGTTCTAGCCTCAAGTGCGAGAGCTTATGCACCACAGCAATACTCGCGACCATTTTGATAGCGCGGAAAGTAATGGCGTCCGTCGACATCAGGCATCTTGAGAACCTCCGCTATGATTACAAGGGCGCCTAGGCGAATCTTGTGCTTGTCGAACGACCTTAGGTTCGCTTGTTCCTCTCTGGGATGTCTTATTTTGTCACTAACATATTCTATATGTAATCAGCGACGAATGGCAGCATGGTTCGGGGTTCCAAAATGCGCTCAAATTTCAACGATAGAGCCGGGCCTGAAAGAACAAAACTCCTTGCATATCACCCCCATACTGATTTCCAAACGCCGAGTAGACTAATCCTCTCTCATTGATTCGGTGAATCGTACCACGACTGGTTTGTCATACTTGCGTCTGATCTGTCCTAAACCGCCTAATTGAGATGAAGCCGAACCGGACACGTTATGGTTCTCTCCCATTTTAAGAACTTTCTTTCTCACGGAGTGATGGAATCTGGCGGGGTAAGGATTGAGCCACTTAATTTCTCCAATGCGGGATCGACTGGTATGCCGCCATATTCCGTCGCCGGGGCGGATACTCGAGGAGAATCTTCCAACTGAATACGATATTCAATCATAGCCCGTTGACGCTTTTCGTCTGCCTCTTTTTGATGCTTCTTCAGTCTTTCTATCTCATCGTCGCCTGCTTTTTTTAACCACCTGAGATTCGACTGCCGGAAGTCGACCAGGCTTTCCACACTGCGAGGATCCGCTATTTTCCTTGTATCATGGCCGAGTAGTGTACAGGTTGGTTCAAATGGTTTCATCGAGGTGTCTCGACGGCACGCTGCGCAACTGCAAATCTTTTGGCATTTAGGGCACATCCAACGATACACTTCCATGGTTTCTTGTGGTTGGATATTGAAGGCTCTAAACAGACTACCGTAACAGTAGTTTTGGTTGCAATAGTCGCAAGAAGCGAGCTTCCATATCGGCTCAATATACTTGCAGATGTGGCAGCGACCACCCTCATCAGATTCGTGGCTGAGGCGAGTCTTCCTCCGTTTTCGAGCGGGACTTTCTGAATCGCTCAAATTGTCCTCGATCTTACGCGTCACTGGTTTGGTGATATCAACCCACGGTCGTCTTTTCAATTCCCCCTGGCACATCTCAGCTAGCGTTTTCTTGCCGTAGCGAGCTCGTTCCTCGGCGAGGGGCCAGAAGATCTGACCGTTCGAGTTGCTCTGGTTGAGCCGACATATTTGGTCGCGCCATTTTTCATATTTCCCGGTCAGCTCACTCCAAGGAAATTGTTCAGCCCACTTTAATCTCGAGAGGCAAGCGCAGCTTCTGCCCATGACATAACATTCCATGCAGATATCGTAGGGGTCTTCGCCATCGGCAGTCTGTCCACCCGCGCACCACGGGCAAGTCAAAAATCGATTAAAAATATTGCACCTGCAGTATGAACAGGTGATGTTACTGTCAAAGGGGATGTATTCGACGTCCTTCTCTTCTGCTTTATCCTGTGAGAAGCTCTCAGATAGCAAAATCTGGGTATATAGTGCGAAAAGGTGCTCAAAGTCTTTGAGCAACAGTTGCTGCTTGCCATCCATACTTTTCCCATCGACGTTCTCAAGGAGCTTTGAGTAATGCTCAAGCGAATAGAACACAATTGCCTTGTTCTTGTACTGCTCATCCCGGCAGACCATCCTAGCATGCGGAAGGGCTTCACTCAAGGCTAGGCTCAGAGTCTCCACAGTAGTTCGATTCCAAGCTACTTTCATCGTCCTTGTTCCGCGGTTCCAGACCTGGTGCGCTGCCAGCGGAGGAATCAGAATAAAATCACCTGGCCTTTGTTCAACGATATACGTTCTGAATGGAGCGGCTTTCCAGGCATTGATCTGCGCGAAATGATCCTCGATATCAATGTCATGGCCCAGTGTCGACTGCCAGTATTCGGAAACGACTCGCCGATCCTTGCTCTCCGTCATGAACCAGATGGACGACCCCGGTATAGTCTTCATACCATACTCAACTGAGCCATCCGATGCCTCAACCATTATATTCTGACCGAGACTTGCGCACATTTCATAATGTGCCGGTGTATAGGTGCCTTCATGACCGATGTAACACATGAGGTTTTCGGCGCTCATGTTCGCCGGAAGGCAGCTCATGAGGTCACCAGGTCTTCCAACCTTGTTTCCGGGTTCCGCGTGAGTCTGGTGCCCTTCATTAGCTGTGACTGATTCTCCACCTGGGCCTTGGAATGCTTCCGGGTGTTTATTCAGGTAAAAAAGGGGTGGCGGAATGAGATTCTTCAAATGATCGTGCCATGTCTGCGGACAATCAATATCTTTTAGATAGATCCGCTGTCGATCAGAGTTCTTGTAATTGAATGAATTCCATTGATTAGTTAACAGTGGCATGTTCTTCAGATAGTGGCCAATCGAGAGGGGAAGATTATTCTTCGTGGTCAAATTTCGAGCAATCTCCTCTTTGAAATGCGGGTTTGAGATCAGACGGGAATTCATAGGTGCGAGACAGCATCACTAAGCTTGTAGACTTACTCTTCGTTGAATGATGGTTCCTTAGCCATTTCTCAGAGAACACAGAGCGGTCCAGCCTCTCATGAAAACCTTCAATCACTAACGGCTTTCCGCCTAGAATGACGTGCAAGCGAACGAGTTTGTCGAAATTGTCCAGACCGTGTTCATCAATGGAGTTGCAATGGATTCTAACCACGTACTCAAAATTTGCTGTAGATTCCACGAGTGCAGCGACGTCCAGATCAGGTGGAATTGGTTCAAAAGCCGCACGGGGACGCTGGGCGGGCATTTTGCTTCGAAGACCGTATACGAATTGATAGTTACGAAAGAAATTCTCGTCAAGGTCCAGAATTGCTTGATCTGCCTTGTCACCAATCGCGATGTGTTACTGAGAAAGCCGGCAGTCGCGCATTGTCTCAGCCAGGAAGACTTTCAAATGCTTCACAATGAATAAGGCAGAGCTGCCCGTCTGTTCATAAACAAAATAGATGTATGTGTGCAGCCGTGTTGCGACCAAGCAGTCGTTCGATATTCGCTTGAGTATGGTATAACTGTAAAAGAGCGGCTAGTAGTCGCGCTGGCATGGAGGTAATGATCGAACGCGGCCGACTTTTAGGAAACAATTCGAATTGTTGTTGTTCCTTTGGTAGCGGTCTACAATGACTTTGAAGCTTGCTTCACTAGTCATAGTAGGGTAGTGTCCCAGTCCCAGGTTGTTTATGGATGTCCCAACATCCTCGACTTCGGAACAGTCGATACTTCGCGTCCTCCTTGAAGGTCAACCCACCTTGTGTTGATTAGTCCAGGACTTAGGTACTACCTGCATGCGCTATTCCTCTCTGGGGCAGGTGGATCAACTACAGGTGTGAACCCTGGCGGACATGTGAAGCAATTTTGATTTAGAGAGGTACATGCATCTTACTGCTACGACGGTTTGATCTTGGGGAGACTGAGAAGGAAGCCCAAACGGCCCTTCCAGATGTCATATTGCTATTAATTAGGAGTACACTAATTGTGGTGAGACACTTGGTAGTGCACTGGTGCTATTTCAATCACGGTACGGAGTAATCTGACCGGTGATAAACCAGCTTTGTTCAGCTCTAGCTGTTTCTTGGTTATCCATGACTAACTCTTGTTTCGTGCGGTAGGAATCAGGTGGCCAGCTCTATCCGGACTGAATCTCGTTGAGGAAGAATCTGTGGAGGCTTCTCCGATCACAGCTCATTATAAAATGAGATTGCAGTTCTCTTACTTCCCTCCTGTTCGTCTTGATCAGTTTTGCAGACGTTATGGAACAGGGAGTAGTCTCTTGAACGACAAGCGCTACCGCTTACTTTGCAATCGCAATTCCTTGACTACCTCGTCAAGGGTCATTTCAACAGGACGTCAATCAGCGTATACTGCCAAACCCAGGTCATCGATCACGAAGGGGCCAACATCTCTCATGAGATACCGGCCACATTCTTCCCTGTCCCCATCCTCGGCAGATCGCCCAGCAGCCACAACGGACAATAACCCCGCAACACACTATATACCTCCCCAAAAAGGCTTCGTTGCTTCTCTTCCCGAATCATGGATCCCGTACGCTGAGTTGATACGCCTCGATAAACCTAGTGGCACATACTACCTCTTCTTCCCATGTGTTTTCTCGACACTCCTCGCGGCACCTATGGCATCTGCCACACCCATGCAGATTCTTGGCACTACTGGTCTTTTTTTCACGGGTGCATTAATCATGAGAGGCGCCGGCTGTGCGATCAATGATTTATGGGACAGGAACCTGGACCCGTATGTCGAACGCACAAAATTCCGGCCTATTGCGCGAGGCGCCCTATCTCCTAAGAAGGCATTGATTTTCACCTGTTCCCAACTTCTAGCCGGATTAGCTGTCCTGCTACAATTTCCCTCCCAGTGTCTCTGGTATGGTATTCCCAGCCTCCTGTTGGTGACGACATATCCTCTCGCCAAGCGCGTCACTTACTACCCTCAGGCTGTTCTGGGTCTCACATTTTCATGGGGTGCTATCATGGGATTTCCAGCACTGGGTGTCGATCTTCTTAGCAACCATGCTGCTTTGGAAGCCGCAGCAGCCTTGTATTCTAGCTGTGTTGCCTGGACAGTGCTGTACGATATGATCTACGCACATATGGACATCAAAGACGACGTCGCGGCGGGGATCAAGTCAATTGCCCTTCGGCATGAGCATAACACTAAGACAGTTCTTTCTGGTCTGGCAGCAGTTCAAGTAGCGCTGCTCGCTACTGCAGGAGTAGCAGCAGGTGCTGGACCCATCTTTTTCGTCGGCACCTGCGGCAGCGCAGCCGTTTCTCTCGGTATTATGATTTGGAAGGTCCAATTGAAGAATGTCAAGAACTGCTGGTGGTGGTTTAAGAACGGATGTTTGCTGACTGGGGGCGGCATCACTTTGGGGATGTTCTCTGAGTATATAGCTCAAACCACTGGCCTGTATAAAAGCGATAAGAACTTACATTAAGAGGATAGCACTCACGAACATAGAACAGGATAAAGGTTACTTTCAACTCCCGCAGTGAATATCTTTTATCTTAACACTACTGATACCAAGATGACGCTCTACTACGTTGACTATATCTTTCCAATCCATCATAGCACCATTACCAGTATCACCACAAGCAAGAGATTTTTCGATGGGGTGAAGTACAGAGACCCAACCTTCTTCATTTGTCCCACTCACCCCCCACTCGTCTGTTAAGATCTTGAGTTGCCTTTTAGTGACCGGGTGATTCCACATCGCGGTGTTCATAGCTATTGAAAGTTAGAACAGAATTTGACAGTAAACAAGTATATATTAACACATCTCACCTGGAGCAACGAACACCACAGGCTTTCTGTCTTTGAGACCAAAGTCTACTTTCCCAGTGGTATCCCACGCTCTGATGACGGAGAGAAGCAGATTATCCGCAATCCCCATTGTCATCTTCGCCAGCGTGTTCGCCGATAAAGGGGCGACAAGTAGGACATGGGCCCATTTTCGAAGCTCAATATGCAAAATGGGCTCGCCGCGAATCCAGGGGTCTTTCCACTCGTCTTCGTCTCGGTAAATAGCATCAACCGCAGGTAGTTGCTTTAGCGCATCGAGTAGAGGTTGCTCTGAGCTTTGACCCGAAAGAAATTTCTCCGCAGACTTGGTCACAATGATGCGAATACAGACATTTTTGTGCCGGCCAAGAGCTTCAGCGATATTTGGCAATTTTATCGCTGCCACGCTCCCGCTTGCTGCTAAAAGAATGTGTATTTTCTTATCTTTGAATTGCTCTTCAGCTGAGAAAGTCCCAGTGCCTTCCATTGAACTTCGTTTCACAAAATGACTACACTCGGACAGGAACCGTTATCATATGCGATGATGTCAGCCGTCGTGGATACGAGTGATCGAGCAGGACTGCCAAGGGCCATCCAAGCATCTGACTGATAGAGTCACGCACGCACCGCCCTTTATTTAAATAGGTCAGTGACGATTCAAGGCTGACAGCGATGCGATCCGGACAATGCTTTTTCATCCGCAATCCCAAGTATCGATCCTGTGGGGTACCTGTGTTTCATGGCGGGGACTGAGAGCCACGGGGGCTAACGTCACATGATAAGGTTCGCCATTTACCTTTATTTTCGGTAGTACGTCTATAGAATATCACAAGCATTTTATCTGTATCAGATAAAACTTTCTCCACAGTTCAGCCCGGCCAGTCTTGACAAAGATATGATGTTCTCAAGGCAAGCTTTCGCGTCAGTAAGTCAAGCATACCTCTCTACTTTACCTGCCCTCGAATCTGTTCGCCAACTATGAGCTCACTTGTATCCATCCAGACATTCCGACCTTTTTCCCGGTCACCACTTGTCTCGACTACACGATTCACGGCTTTCCAACTGCCGCATGCCCTCCATGCCCGGTTTCTCTCTGAACAAACAAGGTCGGCAATCGACAAAGCCGTTGCGTCTGCACCTGTCGTTCTCTTCATGAAGGGTACTCCGGAGACACCACAATGTGGATTTTCTCGAGCCAGCATACAGATTCTGGGTTTGCAGGGGGTTGACCCGAAGAAATTTGTCGCGTTCAACGTGTTGGAAGATCCCGAGCTTCGTCAGGGTATGTATAGTGACACCTTTTCAGGAACAGCAAGTTGTGTGTATTTGCGTGTGAGTCTCAGCCTGGCTAAATCTCTCGGCCTTCCATAGGTATAAAGGAATACTCCGATTGGCCAACAATACCCCAATTATACCTTGACAAGGAGTTTATTGGAGGTTGCGATATTCTGATGTCTATGCATCAGAACGGAGAGCTCGCAAAGCTGCTTGAGGAGAAAGGGGTCCTGGTGGCAGCTGATTGACTTATGCGTGAGGTTCAATAAAGGGCAGATTGTTTACTCATTCATGATTTCATCTTCTTCATTGTAGAATTATTCTTCTATGTTGTGCTGTACTAATATTTTCAAAAGGCGAGAACGTGATTTTTACCTTTGATCTACTCAATAACACGAAGGCTACAAATTGTGCTCATCTAGTTGGCATTATACTGGCACTGTCAAATTTACTTTACTATAATAATCTCTAGTTTGAGCTGGTATTAACGTCAAATAAAGAGTCAGAACTTCACCTGCAAGATGATTAGCTTTATAATCTGATTGACGACAGGCTTAACGACTAGTCCATGATACTTTACAAAGAGATCAAGTCACTGTGCACCCCGTTCCCCAGCCAGACTATTTTCTTCTGATTTAACCAGTTCTTCAATAATGCCCTTCTGTAGCTTGGCGCGTTGTCGCTCTTCATAAGCCTCACGGCTTCTGAGTATCCTATCAACAATCTCACCAGCATTCACATGCTGAAAAGAATGGTCGCTTATCTGCCTAAATATACCCATTCTTTTGGGAGCAGTGTAAGGATCGTATGTCAGTGGAATGAAGGTTGTTGGCCCATGATAAACAACATTCGGGACACCAAATGGCATGGCTTCCAAATACAGTTGGCTAGGAGAGAAGGGCGCGGAGAAAATAACAGCATGAATATACTGGGAGAAATCATTAGAGGTTGTATGAACCATCGATTGAGGGAAAGGAACATACTCGGCATTGAAGGACGCAGAGTCCCCGCTCAAAAATGTTCATGATAGGATAGTTTAATCCCTTCCAGTGATTAATCACATCATCATCATGAATGCCAGCAACCACATAAGCCGGGGGATAGTCTTCACCGAAGTCGTGAAGTCTCTTCTCGACCTGTTCCGTGTCATACCATCCTCGTCGACGGCCTTCCAACTCCTCAAGCTCTAGAACCTGTCGAAGAAACTCGATGTGACCCGAGGAGAACAAATCGAAGCCGCCATCCACATAGACTACCCGCTGCCCTGGCTTGATTGCTTTGCCATTTACTAGAGTTTCGAACGCACCAGCTTCTACAACCGTGTCGCTAACCTTCGCCGGCTTCGAACCGGTCCAACTCCAAACCTGAGGACCAGGACGCAAGCCACTCTCATCTGTTGCGTAGTCCCGGATCCTTTGCATTAGCTCCACACCGAATTGTTTCCTTTCTTCCTGATTGTCGGATCCCTCTACTCCCGCAAGGGTGTCTTTGACGCTCTTTATAAAGTGCCCTTTGGTGCATAGGAGCATACGGCCGACAAGATCGGTGGTTGAAATGCCAGGAGTTCTCTTCACAACGCGAAAGCGCCCAGCTGCCTTGACAAATCGATAGCAATCTTCTCCATTGCTGTCAGATGTGATATCATCTCCATGAACGACATACTTGCACCCATAGTGTGACACCCATGAGAGGGAAGTTACGTAAGGTGCTCGTGGAATACAACGAGTGGCCCAGCGGCATGCTTCCACGGCAGCTACCCTAAAGCACGGTACCGGTTATCAGCAATCTAAGTTGACCTGCCGGGTTTTTAAGGAAAAGACTAACCGTTCCTCTAACGTCATTACTGTCGGGCCCTTGTTCTCAAGAATTGCTTCGTCCGAGTGTACACCAACATAAAGTTCATTACCCAGTCTACGGGCTTGAAGCATAGCACCGGCGTGTCCTACATCAATTCAGTCACTTTTGATTAGGGAAACCTATAACTTGAGAGCAGCTGAGAACGATTTCTCACCATGATGGCTAAAGTCAAAACACCCATCTACCCAGATACGATCTTCCCGTATAGGTACATCATCCTGAGGATCCACAGGCCAGTGTCCTGGCGCAGGGACCAATTCTTCAGGCGACACACTCATAGTTTGGAGAGGCGCTTTTTGGCAATTAGCAAATAGATCCTTGTTGTAATGTAGACGAGCGCGTCGATTTTGGTGTGGAAATGGTCTGGTATCAAAAATCGGCGAAACTCGAAGGTTGATGCGACAAGGCGACTTGATCAAGCCAGAAATTACAGAATCAAAAGGAGGTGGGGTTGGGTGGGGTGTTATTCTATTGTACGGTAGTCTAGCTGTTACAGAGAATATCAACTGTAGCTATGGACGCATGAGGCGCCGTTATCAGGTAGGCAGAACGAGACTGGGAACCAAAGAGTTATTCCAATTTACCCGCGTAAATTGATATAAGTGACGGATAAACAGTTGCCTGGTCAAGATTAACTATAAACTATGGTTCTCCTGGCACCTTGATGAGCAGGCCAGTGTTCCGCCGTGACGTCCAGTTCCTTGGGACGCTCAAGAGCATTTTGACTGGAATGCACCTTTGGTAGATTGGCTATCCTATGTACGGATACCGTTATTGTTATTGTGGACGCGCCCTCCCGGGGTTTGTGGGTTGGGCTAACCCGTTCCTGGCTCGGAACCCCCCAGGATCAACTAAGGGCCGGGCCCATGCATTATTGTCGTGCAGGGGACTTAGCTACTCCGTACTCCGTACATAGATCTCCAAATTATCGAGCAATATCGGTCGAGGCATATCCGGAACTCGTAAACCGACCTTTTTTTTCCCGACTGCTGTGCACAAACGAGTCTTCACCAGCTATCTCTATGAGAGCAGGCAGGAGCCTGCTTCACTTACTGTTGGAGCTGCTCTTTGTCCAGCGCCCAGTTCAAGCATGATATCGTCAACATTTACCCCCAGCCTTTCTCGCAGAGACACAAACAAATCAAGTGTTGGACATGAAGGTGTAGGAGGGGGTGGGCCCCCTCCTTTGACAAGTGGGGGAGGATCGTTCGGTCCTCAGAGCGCTGGAGCTATCTATCAGCATATTCACGACATGGCTACCAAAAGGATATCCACTCTGGATTACCTTAGGAAAGCGTGAGTTCAAAGCAAAAAGCAGCCCTTCTTCATTAATCCAACAACTGATAAAGCTACAGCCATGAAGGTCGTATCTATTGGTTCAACACAGTACACTTCTCTCGAGCTGACATCAGCCGAATCCCCTATTTTGATCCTCGCAAACTATCCCGTCGCGCCATTAATTATCTTCTTCTCGGATTATCACTTCCGCCAATTTTGGACGTCAATTCATCGCCGTCAGAATACCTACGCGCCTTAAACGCGCTTTTGATTGAGTTTGAGGCATTTCAGCAAGTCCACCCACCGGATGGAAGTTCATCATCAACTCTGGCAAGAGCACGTATCCCGCAAATGTTCAAAAGAGCGGCGCACGCTGGAACCAAGGGCAGGAGGGCTAGCTCTGCAACGGAGATTGGTCTTCCCATGCAATCTAGCGACCCATCTGACTTGAAGTCCATGACTGGGAACATCACTTCGTCTACGACAGCAGCTGCCGCTGTTGTTTCGTTCCCCACCAGTGAAGCCTCCGAACTTCTCCCGGGCGAGGAATATTCTTACCTTTTGACGCCGTCTTTACCATTTGAGCCGGATTATTTCGAAACCTTCGCCACTCTTTGTGACGTATTAATTGACTGCTATACCAGGCTCACCGCTTTGGTCTCCACTCCGTCTGTATGCACAGTTGCTTTGGGCGAGATGTTCTCAAAGGCAGACGCAAAGCTTCGGAAGATAATGGTCACAGGCGTCGTTCGAGAGTTCGAGGATGCAAGTAGAACCAGCGCAAAGAATGAAATAGCTGGTGTCAGTCGTGTTGTTTTGGGCGGTCTTCTAGGCTGATTCAAATCGCAATGTCGCCTTGCGGAAGTCCCAGAACTGGTGCTTGGCATTTGCTGTAAATGGGCCTTTCGATCAAGGAGGGCGGATGCTCCTGAGGTGGGTAATAAATTTGGTGCCAGGTATATTTATGAATTGATCCTTCAAAGGAAAGGACAAGATCTATTCTATTCTAGATTAATGAGACACGATATATTGCTTCACATGTTTCACTTAGCACACGCAGAACCAGTAAACATAAGAGACTAGCATAATATCGAGAGGAGATAAATCAACAAGCATGGGTTGGTATCACTTTTGTAGCCATTAACATCGTAGGAATCGGGGCATCAAAGCCGATGAGTATGATCAAGTCCAGTGTAAGGAGTATGCATGCGCCAAAAGTGAGACCACAAAAGCAGATGGAACTGAACAGAACGCCGGCTCAATCGCATGCATCGACAACAACAACGATAGAACAACTAAAGAAACGCCAGCAAATGCAGCCGCTTAATGACTATGATGGTGACGAGTTCAGCAAGAAATGGGCAGCTCAGGACTGTAATTTCTTGTTCTCGAACTCACGTTGCTCGCCGAAAACCCTTCGGCTCATTTCAAGGACAGTCTCGAAACCTTCTCTGCCTCTCTTGGCATTTTGGCTGAACCTCTCGATGCTAGCCTCCTCTACCTTATTCTTGATTTTCTGCCAGCCGCCGCAAAGGGCAGTGATTTTGGCCTCTTGACTGAAATCCGTGACCGACTCTGGTTTTGATGACGAAGGCTGGTAGATAACAGTTTCTCTCACGTTCAACACGTTAGACCACGTGAGATTCGTTGAGCACATAGTGACCTTCTTTGCCCCAGGATCAACATATGAGATTTCGTATACATGAGAAGTAGCGCTTCCCCCGAACAGTGAGAGAACCCATTGCGGTACTGATTGATCACATGTGATGAGGCGTTCCGTACGCAACTGAAGGGGGCGTCCAGGTTAGCCATTTCGTCCGAGATTTAGAAAATGATAGTATTGATAGGAAAACCCACAATGCCAGTCTTCGGATCTACCGTCCTTGATATGGTGTCTACCGCCACAACATGGGTCGACTTGTCATTCCAAGGGCAATATTTGCGCCAGTTCGCCGTCGAAACCTCTTCCCAAGAATAATCGAAGGTGCACGTCGAGGAGAAGACCTTCATGACGGGGAAATCTTGGAGACGGTGATAGAAGCAGGGATCGCTAAGCAACCGAGTCGCTTGCTAAAGAGGCACGATCGAAAGTGTAGTCTGCAGAACGTCGTGTTGATCGAATCAGTCGAAATGGATTCAAACAAGCTGAGCACTCGAGAATATCGATAAGATGGCGTATAAAAGGGCAAAGGTCTATGTGTTCATTAAAGAGAGTCTACAACAGTAAGGAAGGGCATAAAAGAAGAGGCAAATATCCAACTACTGGATGAGTAAGAAGGCCTTCAAAAAATGATGAAACTGGACGGCGATCACAGGCTTGCGTGCAGTGGAACGCGGGAGAAGAAAATTTTAGCATATCCGACTCGCAAACAACCCGGGGAAAAGGCGGGCTCGGTCAGGGATCGGAATTTCTCGGCTGTCAGAATGCGACAGCATCATAAACTACCTGAATGTTCCTTTTCCTATCTATCGACCTCTCTATAAGAACTGAACATGGGTTCAAAATTGTATGAATCATAACAAGCGATAGATCGAAGAGCGATATGGAATGATCCTGTACGATGCTTTAATAATGAATTAATGATAATTGTCTTATCAGGTACACCGATTGATCTCCTGCTACTTGTTACACATACTTTGTCTTCGTAGTTTTCTTGCTGGACCCAAACATTTACCATTTCTCAATGTTGCTATTATGGTCTATTACTATTGCAGTCAACTCATTTTAAGCCACCGGGAAAAGAGGCTCATTAACTCGCAGCAGTCGTAGCTGCTTCCCAACATGGAAATTAAAGTCGGTGTGAAACTGTACATAATCCCGATGTTCATTGCTAGAAGGATCCTGAACATATAAAAGGTATTCTAGGCCCTCCTCGGTAAAAGGTATTCTAGGCCCTCCTCGGTCTCGCTCCCTCAGCATTTAAAGCATCTCACAAGACGCGGACGACATACCACCCATTAAGGATAATTGCTCCTTCAGCTATTCGAATATCGTTTTTTACGTCATGGTAGAACTCAGGAAGCGGAAAGCACCCTCACAGACCCCTGCCACAGAAAAAAAGAGCAAAAGGATACAAGAGACGAGTGAGGAGGCCAGTCCAACCTCGGTACAATTAAGCAAGGAAGATGAGCGCTCTACGCACGTCTCATACGAGAAACCTCCAACTGTCGGTGACACTATCGACTTGGATAACTTTGGTGGCGAGGTAGAACTCAATGATGGGACGAAAACCACCCTCAAACATCTCGTCGACACAAGCAAATCAGGGATTGTTTTGTTCACGTACCCGAGAGCGTCCACGCCTGGCTGTGAGTTTATCTCCCCCAAGATTTCTTCCTTGAACGTCCCGAGAGTAGTACTCCGTGAATTTTCGGGGAAGAGCGGTTGCATCCCTCCTCTCGTTAGCGGTATTGCGCTATAGTTCCTGGCTCCTGCAACGACTTTAACAATCCCGGGAGTCGAAAGAACGCTCATCGCTTGTTAGGCACAAAGCAAGCTTGCTTGTTTCGCGATAAGTATGATTATATAACATCGAATGGCCTATCGATATATGGGCTTTCGGCGGACTCCATCAAAGCAAACAGCTCGTTCAAAGCCAAGCAGAGCCTCCCCTATCCTCTACTATGCGATACAGCGTCTACTCTCATTTCGGCTCTTGGTTTTAAGAAGGCTCCTAGAGGCACGACAAGGGGGGTTTTCGCTGTTGATAAGCATGGAAAGGTCCTACTTTTGCAACCTGGTGGGCCAGATGCAACGGTGGATGCTGTACAGCAATTGATCTCAGCACGTAACAAAGAGACGCAGGGACAGACCAAAGAATGACGGGAAGTTTATGATGGAAGTTGGGTTTAGGTGTCACATTTTTAAGAGCACGTTTCAGCTCTAAGCCCCATGTGATATCAATGATCCTGAGATCGCTTTTCATACCTCATGTCATACTTCATACGTCGACAATCTTTGCAATGAAAGAGAAATTTAATCCAATCCACCTACGAAAATGAAGAAAGCCATGGTTATGACTACTGGTTGTTCTAGTTCAGTATAGCCACTCTGTCCAAAGGGTGTTATTTTTGATGAAGGGATGGATAACCTATAACTTATTATTTTCGGTCAATGGTCCTACTCCTGTCACAATATATCTGCAGGTGTGGCCACGAAGGCGCTTGAGATGAAATCCCATATCTCTAGCGGTCACTTTGCGAGGTCGAGATATCCTATCTGACCAAGATTCAGCAAAGTTTCTTCTGTTACACCAAACTTCACTTGAAACTCCACATATTAGTTTAGCGCGACGGGTCAACAGCTCATTCTTGCATTAAGATATCAGCCAGGGAAGCTTCTTACATGTTGTATGAGTACGTTTCTTACCGATCGCCAGTGGATGTTCGGGTATCAGGAGGCATGGTGTCGGAAAAACAAAATGTCCGTTCACAGTTCGTCCATCCGAGTACAGCCATCTTGATTCCGTCCCTTCGTAGGGCAAGTGAATATACATATAGTTGAGACGAGAACCTCAGGAGGTCAGGACTCAAGTAAGCCAAAGGGCCATTATACTGGTCTTCATCATGGACAGTGAGACAATGGAGGCATTGTGAGGCTGACACGCAAACTGGATAGGATCTCCATCATGGCTCGCGACGTCCTCAAAGCCGCCAAGTCCGCATCGAACGCGATAGCCGTTCATAAGGTAGGCATTTTACTATTCTGATGGTGGTACTTCTCGCTTCTAATTTTTGATAATTAGAAATACACCGTCCAGTCTACCGGGATATGGGAACGTCTTCGCCGTCTTCTTGCCGTCGATCCCAATCGCTCTACCGGAGTACCACTTAACTCGCAATATCGACTTCCGACTCCTGGTGCTCTCCCGCCGCAATCTTATGATGATCCCGTCACTGTTCCAGCAGCAGACATTGCCGACAACCCTTACTGGAAGCGCGACGTTCGGAGAAACTACCCCAGACTTAGCACAGTCAACCAGGCAGATGCTGTTGGCCTTCTTACAGTAGGCAGCCGGGCAGTGCCGAAGAATGACGTTCTGCAGATCGGGCAGGCAGGAGAGCAGCAGTTGGTTGAGGTTAAACAACAAGGAGAAGAGCGTGGCCTCGCGGCCATCTTTGAGAAGGACAAGAGGGGCATTCAGGGCGTTCTGGGCGCCGATGGTCTGCCGCCAATTCCTTGTAATCTGAACGCCTCTGCGGCCAAGTATCAGCTTGGTCAAGGTCAAGGCTATCCTGCTGTGTATGTCTTCATCTCCGCATTTTGTTACCCCAGCTTACGTTTGAACCTAGGTATCCTTGCCGGACTTTCGTCTAAGTACTCGTTAACTGCACATCCGAATTGAATTGTTATCCTCTTTCTGTCCTGGCACGTAGACCATCTATTAGCGAACAATGTTCAACCGCGGTGAGGGTACGATAGAGCAGGCTGATGGCAATGTCAGCCTTTTTCTGATAATGCAGAGCCAGTCTTCCATCCTAGCTAGCTACATGTGCATAGAAAGTTTCGCTAGGTGATTTCCACAACCATGTATCAGACTGAATTTATATGCTCTGGGAATACTTCTATGTTCTCTCTATTCGTCTATATTAACCAGTCATGGGGAGAGCAATGTCGCCATGCCTTATAGTTAGGACGGCAAACAGAATGTCGAATATTATTTACCAAGGGTAGATTTAGAGCAGTTACGGCGTCATGATCCGAAGTGACTTGCCATGTCCTCAAATTCGAACGTACAATCGCATACAGCAATGGGCAAGGAAGACAGGGCCGTTAAATCCGACTTTTCTAAGAAATCTAAAGTGTCAAAATTATCCTTCTTTAGGTGTCACCTAAACTAGCTACGATCCGAAACGTAGTCCCTGCATGATTGTAGACTCGGCGTGAGCAAGCAATAGAATCCTATGTCGGCTTAATTCAAATTTAGGTTTTAATTCACAAAATCATGATTTCCCTGACTATAAACCAGGAGTCGCTCCTAATCAAAAGGATTTGTGCGAGTACCCCACCAGGTAAGGAACAGACTAAGCCCAACTGTCTCAAACACCCTGCTGACAGCACCAACAGCAACAGTATCGAGGGGTCGCTTTTCAGTGAAGATTTGGCTTATGAACTAGGAACAGAATGCAAGGTTAGCGTATCATGTGAAAGTTGGTGTAAGATAATCGGAATACTCACACTTGGCGCGGAACTGGCCATGAAAATCAAGCTTCCCAAATAAGCAGCCCCCTTATAGCTCAGTGTTCCAGTAGCATTGATCAGGGCGGCAACACCATAAGTCTGAACGGCGCTTCCAACCAGAGAGCTACCCCAAGCCGCCGCTGCTCCAGCAGCCTCCTTGGACTTGATGAATTCCTCCTTGGAATTGGCAGCCTGCGCACGATGATAAGTATCACCAAAGACAGGTGCGAGAATACCCAGTGAAGCTGTATGGGTAAAGATAGTACCCATCGCAATCGCCGAGGGTTTCACGGGAGGGAGATCTGGCCGATTCAAGTTATTATAATGATCAGTGGGACCACAGGGCCCGGAGACGGGGCCATACTTACAGTGGAGAGTGGTCATTTTGAGTGTGGAAATATCGCCTTGTGACAATGATTCTGTTAGGTTGTGGGATCTCAACAAAATTGACGTCCGTTGAATGGGGGAGATTCGTTATTTGAACACTGCTGAACCAAGGTCACATGGGGTTGCCATCATACAGTAGGTACTTGGCAGGCTACGCAGTGACGTCGTCATGATCTAAAGACAAGGACACGCCGACGAGCTGCAGTGTGAAGATCCCGATATGGGGGTTCGAGTCATGTTGCGGACCAATCAATCGAGGCAGCTCAGTAATAAAGTCGGTTTTACCAACGGTCATGGTAGGAGGCTGGAAGCAAGATCCCTTGGTGTGGGGAAGGGCAGTGGCCATGACGTCAAGCAATAGACACACATACATGATGCCTCTCAATAGGTATCTTTATACTAGCCTTGCTTGGGCGGTGAAGTAAAAGATTTTAATAGTAGGTACTCTTAGGCGTCGACCAACCAAACGAACACTAATCTCTCTTGCTATTCACACTACAGAGCATGGCCAGATCCATCCTCAACAGTCATGAGTTACATTCGCTGAGCCGATTCATTCTGCCAATTCTTCAACCCACATATGAAGTTGCAAGGAAAAATCATTTTCCTTCATTCCAGGTAGGACATTAGCAAGAATTACGGCCTGTATTTCCGCTTTCCGACTAGAGGCCTAAAGTAGAATTGCAACGAATTTACATGTCCTCTGGTCTCTCTATGGTCCACATTTGAGGACACGAGGGAGAAGGCACGAAGAAGATTTGAGGACAAGAGAAACACTATCTTATCTCATCGGCCAAGGCCTCATCTATTTAAAGATAGACAAAAGATAACTATGAAGTTTCGAAGGCCACTATCTGGAGCCTAGATAAAGGGCAGCAGATCTACATCGTTAATTTCTCCGTCCCTACCTAATTTTCTCCTCGTTTTGGAGAAATGCCCAATCAGAGTTATCAAAGGACATGGACTCCCCTCCTTTTCTCCTGTCATCTTTTCTGAGCCTACTTCCTAGTACATAATCTTCTTCAATTCTCTTTCCCTATTGGTTCATTTATATTTTTTGATGGTCAGGCGTTAGTGACTGACTGAGACTTTTTACACATCAATTAATTTGATTAACATTCTTCGATAGACATTTGTTAACCTCAGAAGAAATCATTCGTGGGTGCAAAATTTTCTCCCGATGGAAGCAATCATTCCTGCCAACCCCTCATCATCCGATCTGGTGGCAACCTTCGATGTCAGCGAACACTTAGTCCCTGTCAGAGAGCTAAAATCGGCTGGAAATACGTTGGTTTCATTTGATGGTCTCCTAGAAGAGCCTCTGATCCTCAAAGAAGACCTCAAAGAGGGTTGCGGTGGTCAATTATGGCCAGCGGGGATTGTCCTGGCCAAGTACTTGCTGCGGCAACACCGCAATAATCTCTCCAACAAGACGATGTTTGTACACTACCAATTTTTCTTATTAGAAAGTCCTCAACAATCGCTCCGTCTGAGATTATACTAATGCGTTGTTACCTAGAGTTGAACTAGGAGCTGGCGGGGGCCTTGTGGGCCTCGCGGTTGCACGAGGGTGCAATGTTGGTCCTTGTCCCATCTACGTCACAGACCAAGAGCCAATGTTACACTTGATGAAAACGAACATTGAGCTGAATAATCTCTCAACTGCAGTGGCGGCCACAATGTTAAATTGGGGAGAGCCTCTCCCAGACTGTATACCGACACATCCTGCGATCGTACTCGCTGCAGACTGCGTCTATTTCGAGCCGGCATTCCCCCTTCTCATTTCTACCTTGCAAGATCTGCTGGGACCCGAATCTGTTTGCTACTTCTGTTTCAAGAGGCGTAGGCGAGCAGATCTCCGTTTCATGAAAGCAGCTAAGAGGGTCTTTGATGTCAAGGAGGTTCGTGACGACCCTGAAGCGGATACATACAGAAGGGAGAATATCTTTCTCTATTCACTCCGGTTGAAATCTAGACCAGAGAACGGCAGTCTTAGAGCAATAGAAGAATGAGCAAACGCCAAAGAGGCAACCTAGATTTTCATATATTGATATATAGCTACAAGACGACCGAAATGCGCTAATCTACCAGGCCTCTGCCTTTCCAAAAAAAATTCATGTATTCCAGATACTCCGTCATCGGATATGGACGGGAGGTGATTGTAATCTCACAGCTTGAGCATATCGGCGCCAGTTTTGACGGTGCTTTCCCGGTCTCTGGCACCATAAACATCAGTGAGGTGGCCCTCTCTACCAATCACCTTGACACCGCTCTTCTTCAACGTTGAGACGATTTGTTGTTTTTCAGCGGCTTTCCCTGATTGTTTTTTCGCAGGGTCGGAGTCAGACTTTCTCTGCTTCTTCTGCTTCCTCCTTAGCTTGGACTTCTCATCGCGCGTCATTTCATCCTTGGCGAAAGATTCTCCATTCTTGAGTGTTACTTCTCCAGCAACCTTGCCGTTATCACCCGGAGCGTAAATTTCCTGAGGAGCAAGGGCCGCTGACCCGCCAACAGCGCTGCTAGCTGCAGGCTGCGCATCCTCCATCATAATGGTAGCGACATCCGTGATCACGTTGATATTTGCTTGAGGAGCTTTCGGTCTGTAATGCCAGTTCGACAGCGTATCCAGGCGGTCGCTTATCTCTTTCCAAAGGTTTGAAATCTCAGTATGTTCTCGTAGAAGTTTATGATTCTTCGGGTCGACATAGTTTGGATCTGTGGCCCTGAGATGATCAGTCTCAAAGAGCTCGGCCAGGCTCTGTTGAGGCTTGGTGTCTTCCAGCTCAAATCTCCCTTTCTTTGCAGTCTGCCCTTCCGAAATCCCAGGACGGCGGCGTATTACTTCATCAAACTCCTTCGCCAATATTCGACGCTTAACCAACTCCTCAATGTCCCCAGAAAGTTCCGTCGTGACAACAGGTACCGGCTTTCCCACCCTCTCGAAATCCAAATCTTCTTCAACTAGGGAGTTCATAGGTCTTTCAGCGCCTCGAGCTTCACCAGCAAGCATCCAATCTTTCTTCGCCACATTAGCAGCCTCTAAGCGACGGATCTCGTCGGCAATCCGCGCACGTTGTTTCTCATGAGCCGAATGCTGATGTTTAGAACCCGCTAGCTCATTATCGGAAGAATCGTTTCCATCTAGCGACTCATCGTCCTCAAGCAAGTCGCGCCTAACGTCAGCAATCGCGCGATCGATGTCAGTTTCGACAGGAGCCCTATGAGGTTGTGTTTTCGGAAGAGGACGCGTTTTCGTGGAAGTCGCCTTCCGTGGAGGAGGCTCAAAAAAGTCCGAGTACTTGATATCACTGGTATTCATCCAATTAGTGGTATCCGCACTAATTGCATATGCATCGTCACCCTCTGAATCGATGTCATTTTCGACGGCGACGTTATCGAAAGTCGGCCCCTCCTCGTCACTACTGCTCTCACTTCCGTCCTCGAAAGAACCCTTCGATCTCTGTGCTGTTGGCTGTGTGGTTTGGGAAGGCACAGAACCTCCACCAGCTAAGGGGTCGACGTGCCAGTCTATCTCCTCTTCATCGCTCTCCAAATCGTCATCTATTTCGCCCTTTGCATCTTGCCTCTCGAGAAACTCAGACTGCTTGTTGAATTCGTCAATGGAGAAAAAGCCGTCGTTCAGTCCGAACGCGTCTTGTACGTAGGTATCGCGGCTATTGTGGTTATCATTCTCCGACTCTTCCACATCAGTCCTACTATCTTCGTCTGAGTGGCCCTCAGCCATGCTCAGTGATTCTGGTACGGATTCCATATCTTCCATATCATCATCAGAAGCAGAGTCGCGGTCTGAACGATCAGCGGCCGATTCTGAAGAAACCGACATATCACTAAGATTAGAGATATTTTCAGAGTTCGCCTCTCGTGACTGAACGGGTGACGCTCTTGCGTCCAGAAAAGCTGGTTCGACATGCTGGGAAATCAGAGCGGAATCTTGCTCAATTTCCTGCTTGGCAGAGTCTAGTATTCTTGTGGCCTGTTCCCATATTTGATCGGAAGTAAATCCTTGCACAAATAGTTCCTTCAACTGTAATACTTTATGCAGAGTCTCTTGCTCATAATCCGATCGCTTGCGCTTCCGCATAACGCGCTGACGAGCAAGCTGTGCATTGCTGACGGACAGGGCAAGGGAATCCAGAAAGTACTTTGCACAATCAACTGTATTCGCATGCAGCGAGGTTGTCGGGCTAAGAAAAACCCACGGTGTAGATAACGCTGATTCGATAGGCATGTTATATCTGTTGCGAGTCGACCTGGATGCTGTGCATTGGATTGTCGTCTCAGATTGGTCTTGCATTACCGTTTGGTCCATTGCAGAAATGCCTGAGAGGGCATCGGCCCGCGCTGTTTGAACAGAGAAGGGGAATTTATTGTAGAGAGCAAAGAAGAAAGAGAAAAAAAAAATATGAAGGGAAAAAGAATAGTCGGAAATTGAGGCTATGGTTTTTTTCCTTTAAAAAAAAATGAAAAATGAAAAACGAAAATGAAGAAAACTCTCTGCCAAGCTTCCCGCTCCACTTGAGCCTGGCTGTGTTATAATGTTATTGGTATCTAACCAGTGCGGTCCAGAGGCGGATAATGATAATACTACCTTAGTACTCTGTACTACGGAGCACCTCCCTAATAATATCAATGAATGCTGGGTCACTCACATACCTTAATGCTGAACTTCAACCAATTGCTGCTCCCAGCCTGCTGTATTGAGATTGTTAAAAACCTCAGAAGTTCACAACGTCTTCAGTCCTAGGGTAAGGTACTAACCCAATTACAAACTTCCGCGGCGCGTGACAAGCACATCAATATCAGATCCAAGGTCTATTCTTCATTCGACAATGGGAAAAGTAATTAAAAGACTACCTTGATTTCGAAATCTTATTCATCTCTCCGCCCTACAGAAGGTAAAGCACCACTGCAGATCAAACAGTGCAGCCTCAATGTGTAAATATGGCCTTTCCTCAAGAGTTTGTGCGCGCCAGGATAACTGAGGTGTTTCCCACAATCCGGATACCCTGGTGCCTCAAAGTTCCACCAGTTCAACTGCTCTGAGGCCAGCACTATAGTTCTGATCGCGAACTCTGATGAAGTCAAGTGATAAGCAGACCGTATATCAATCTATGGACGTGATGTCTCGCTGACGATTGTCCGGCTCTCGGAGAACTTTCTGAGAGGACTTTTGAAGGGATATCAACTACATTTCTCCTCAGATAAGGTGCTCATGACGGTCTGAATCATCACATATGCCAGTTCTTCGTTGCCTGATAACGTCACGTCAAGGAGACTGTCGAGGCTCATCTGCATAGGAACTTCTATTGTCACCACCTAGGCCAGCTCGAAGTAATGATTGCGATGTGGGTTTTGTACGTGGCTGGCTATATCTCGAAGATGTTTCGTGGCTCTCAATTCCTAGGTTCTGTGTTGCTTGAAACGTCATCCTGACGCCGCGCATACGGCGGATTTTGCGATACTATAACTTGACGTGATTATCTTCCAAAATTCTTTTCTCGCGCATTAACTTGTTCAGAAAGCTGCATTTTACTTAATATACGCAAGTTGTGAGTTGTCGATTCGAGATCGTCCGAATTGCTACTGGATCACCGCCATGCAAGAGTACACGGAAAAGCCAGCAAGCGGTGCTGAATCACAATTTCAGCCTGGTAAGTCCGCATCTTTGAATCAACTTTGACCATGCTCATCGGTACTGCAGGTCACCGGATCCCAATCCAGCATCAGAGAAAGCCTGGGCTACAGGCGGAACTGGAGGATCCCAAGCCTGCGTCAACCCGCATACCGACCGACGACTATGGATACCAGACATATAAGGCAGCTGGGAAACTCGCTGGAAAGCGAGCTATCATTACGGGTGGCGACTCTGGGATCGGTCGCGCTGTTGCCATACTGTTTGCAATGGAAGGGGCATCTAGCCTAATCGTATACTTGCCCGAGGAAGAGATAGATGCTCAAGAAACAAAGAGAAGAGTGCAGGAAGCTGGAAAAGAATGTCACTGCTTGGCAGTAGATCTCCGGAAAAGGGAGAACTGCCAGAAAGTGGTCGACGTCGCCCTTCAGTGTCTGGGAGGAATTGACATTCTGGTGAACAACGCAGCGTTCCAGAACATGGTCCAAGACATCAGCGAGCTAGATGAGTATGCTCTGATCCCCCACCATAGTCCTTTGAGCTCCTCTTCACTAGCAGCGCCCCCACAGCACACGAGAAGAGAGAGCTCTCGCATGAGCTGATCAAATTGACCATCTCGTTAGGGACCAATGGCATCGCACCTTTGACACGAACATCCATCCTTATTATTACTTGTCGAAGTACAGTCTACCACATATGCGATCTGGCTCGACGATCATCAACTGTGCATCTGTTAACCATTATATTGGCCGAGGTGACCTCCTTGACTATACATCTACGAAGGGCGCAATCGTTGCGTTCACTCGAGGATTGTCCAACCAACAAATTGGGAAAGGAATTCGAGTCAACTGTGTGTGCCCTGGTCCAAGTAAGTTTCGATGCCGGATAATTGCAAAGGTCGTCTCTAACATAGCTTCTAGTCTGGACTCCCTTGATCCCATCCACTATGGATACTTCTGCAATGGAACAATTCAGCTCCGTGCCCATGGGTCGCCCAGGCCAACCTAGCGAGGTTGCAACATGCTTTGTTTTCCTTGCAAGTCATGACAGTAGCTACATCTCGGGACAAAGCCTGCATCCCAATGGCGGTGTCATGGTCAACGGCTAGGCGGTTGCCTCAAGCGATCTCAGGTTCACAACAAAGACGAACAGGTACCTGAATGCTAGGGCTCCAGATCGCTTGAACCATTTACGTTCAATGGTAGGTGGCACGTTTGTCAGAAAGAGAGATAGCAAATGATAAGCCCGTATTAGCTGGTAAATTGAGCGAAATCCGAACACCGAAGACATATCAGTCAAAAGGTCACTTGGCTCGTTGTATGCACTGGTATGTCTCCTAGGTACGCAAGAATACAATGCCATAGTCAACATTTTCCAAGGTTTAATGATATCCACCCATTCCTCAAGAACAATATTAACGGCGGTACCACATGCGTGTGATTCTTGTATGTCTCATCTTCTTCTGGAGCTGGAATATTCCATACATCAATGCCTCAGATGTGGGTGGGCCTATATCACGTCAGCAGAGCTCTCCAGAATAATCTCAAAGTACGAGTCAAGAGGGAGGTTCGACGAACATCCAGGGACATAAACGTCGACAGGAACAATCCTATCACATCCTCGTACGACCGAGTAGCTGTAATGATAGTAGCCGCCACCATTCGCACAACTTCCCATGCTGATGACCCAGCGTGGATCAGGCATCTGATCGTAAACTTGTCGAAGGGCCGGTGCCATTTTGTTGGTCAGTGTACCAGCCACGATCATCACATCTGACTGGCGAGGTGAAGCTCTAAAAATAATTCCCAGGCGATCTTGGTCGTATCTAGGTGTCGACAGATGCATCATCTCGACAGCACAACAGGCGAGACCGAAGGTCATCGGCCACAAGGAGCTTTGGCGGGCCCAATTGGCGACTTGGTCAAGTGTGGTACTACAAACGACCATGTTAGTACGATCGGACGTTCAGTATGCATGTACGTAAATGGGGCAGGACACGAACAGAACATATTGCATTGCACCCTCTTTCTTTTCCTGGCTCGGCAAGGGCACCTCCTTTCGCACTTTTCCAGATGCAGTCAAAGGCTGCCCGGACTGCGCCTGACGCTCGAGTGCCGTCGCTGATTTGACTGGAGAGGTGGACAGCAATGCAAGCTGTTGAGCTCTGAAGAGGCATGGAACTGTGACTGATCGCGCTATATCAAATGAGCCGACGAATGCCAGGAGACAGAAAAATAGACGTACCGCGGAGAGCGCCCAGAACGGCGCGCCTAGAAGTAAAGAGCATACTGGGATAATACTTCTGCCTTATCTGAGGCGCCTGTTAATCAGATAAAGAAGTAGCTGGTGACTGAGGGGAACAGAACCTCCGTTGCTCAAAGGCCCTGCAAGCCCAGTGGCAATGAAATGGTTGAGGTACGAGTTGCGAGTGTTCCGTTCCGGCTCCAAACTAGGAAGGTAACGCCGTTGCGCCGAAGACGACCGAGCCTATGGCCGCTCTAGCTTAGTAACTGGAAGATAATACAGTTCTGAATCCAACTTTACTCCAATGTCTTCGAAGTTCGAACCCCCAGATGGTAACCGCAGAGACCCCTACGATGATGACATTTGTTTGTTTCGATTAATCACATTTGGTCCATTAATACTTGATCTATCCTGATGGGGCTTGTTATAATGGGAATTCATTTTACTGTAGAAAGGTCACTCGATTTGACAACTTAAGTGCATCTAGACTGCATTGATTTCTGCCTACAATCTATTGTATCATTAATGCAGAGATTCCGTTCACGAATGTGAGAAAAGACTCTGTTGTAGATGCTGTGTTTCAATGAAAGTGGAAGTGGTTGGGTGGTTGTTACCCGGGCTTATCAGCGCCGTGGTGCCATCATCAAAATGAGGAGGAGCAAAGATCAAGCGGGTCCTCCTGACCTGATGGGAACAGTGCTCTGCTATTCCCTTCGTACTCCGCCAGTCTACTCTCCTGCCTAATCATTTCCCTTGTATTACTTCCAGCGATCTTTGACCCAGGGAGCTAAAAGAGCCTCACACACGCAAAGCGATGTCAGGCCCCAAGATTGCCTGCATATGCGTGATTGGAAAGGCTGTGAGACGATCCGTTGCTATTTGATGCCTCTACTAATCCTTTCAAAGGACAATCCTCTCCATATCACACTATTCCCACCGTACCAAGACTCCATTGTAGATTTCTCTTTCTCCTTGAACGCATGCCTTGATGTCTTTGAGGTACGGCAGAAAAAGACTTCAGTCGGCCAGGATCTGGGCCTCTTGCATGCGATCGATGAACGATTAGCCGCGTATGGCTGGTTAACAACCACTGGGGTGAAGTTCTTGATCGTGGTGGATACAATAGGGCAACCAACACGTGTTGGGGCCGAAAGTTTGGGCATCGGTGCGATGGCGACATTGAGGGAATCGGACTTGAAGCCGGCACGTTTTTACCATCTTACGTTGCAACACTCTCGAGAGAGCCCGCAAGTTCCATGGAAGCGCTAATGTCGAATGATAGGCTTTCCGAGAGCTGCAAACTGCATACGTTCAACTGTTACAAAACCCGTTTTACTTTCCGGACGATTATACGCCTACTGCGAAGACCGCAACATCGAGTTCGAATGCATCGCAAATCGTCGACCGAAAGTTCATTACGGCAGTCAAGCGTATCGGCGATACCTGGGCTCCGGGAATGACTGGGCTCTGAGCTTTCTCACCCCTAAATCTTTTGGGGAGACAACTCAAAACATATTAATGCTCTGGAATGGCCAAAAACCCCCGGGAAATATACGGACTTTCTGAATGAAACATAGCGGACAGACGCGGATTGTGAGACTGATTCACGTTGTTCTGCCTGATCGGCTAGAACTTACACAACCATGGACGAAATTGTGAGCGAACTTCACCCTGCCCTGAGGCAACTTTTGGACCTTGCAACTTGTCTGAAGGATTGCGGAAGTGAAGGTCATACCTGTCTTCATGCAAGATGCATGGAAGAATGAGCAGCATAAGAAATGCGAGCTAGCGCTTCACCGATTGCTTGCAGGGCCAGGAAGCCCATGCCGATTATCCATGGTTACTCAAGCTACCCTCGCTGAGCATAGCTCATGATTGTACTGAGTACAGAAGTGAATCTCGTTTTGGCAGCACAATGAGAAACGCAATTGGAATTGCAAGACAACTCTACAGGAGGCAGTCTGGTTGTTCTAGCAAGGAACACCTTCAGAGTGATCCACACCGGCCAAGGAAATTGCCACAAAGACTTGCACCTGATGCTTCATAGACGTTAGAGTGGCTTGAGCAGGTTATTTGTCTCTCAAGTTGCAGACTATTTGTTTCAGATTAGAAGTTACTCGAAAGAATAGGGTGCTGTGACTGCCCGGGAAAGTGTGGATTTAAGGCCATCAAAGCACCGGGCTACATTTTGGATGGAAATTTGCGTATCAAGTCCGGCGACTTATCAGTAAGTTTCGTATGTAATGAGCAGGGCTCGATTGTGTCGGTACAAATGAGAAGTACGTATATAATGGGGGATCGCAGATTCATTGAGTTAAGACGTCGATTTCAGTGTTTTGCAGCGCCATCAAAACATTCTCCAGCTCTCGGGGATCACTAAGAGCCCAAACGCCACCTCCTTTGGTGTTAATTTTACCAACTTCCTTGCCGACCAGATTTCTGCCGACTTTGCCTGGCCCAATGCCAATCCATCTTTTGACTCCTCGATCTTGGTCAAGATAACGAATACTGTCCCACCATTTAACGGTTTCAACGCATTGTCTAGACAAAAGGCTTTTCAAGTCGTCCCTTGATTCGAAGGGTAGACCAGAGACGTTTGATATACACGGCAGCTGTGAGGGAAATTCAATGTCGACGTATTCTAGTTCATGTCTCATATACCCTGCAGCTGGCGCCATGATGGGATTGTGGAACGGGCTTTCGCTCTTCAACCTCACAGCACGTGGGTCGTGGCCACCAAATTGGCGAAGCTGGACGAGAAGAGTCGTAATCCGCGGAATACTCCCACTTAGTACTATTTGGTTTTTGGAGTTGATGTTGGCAATCATAACTTGTTGAATTGTGGGTAATCCGTGGCTCGAATCGTCCTTTAAGTCGGGGGAAGGATGACCTGTGAATTCATGTATGGCTGAAAGTAAAGATTCGAGATGATCCGGTTCACAAATCAGAGCTACCATGCCATAGTCTTCTCCGGATTGTTTAGAGGCTTGACGGGTGCATTCAGCCATAATCTCCGCCCGACGGCGAACCAATCTTAGCGCGTCTCCGAACTTAAGATAGCCACCAGCGACCAGAGCAGAGAACTCGCCCAAGCTATGTCCAAGTGTTACATTCACACGAGATTTCGTGTCGAAACCGAATTCCTTTTCCAATATGCGAAGAATTAATATGGACGTCGCCATGATAGCAGGCTGGGAATTCTCAGTCTTGTTTAACTCGCAATTTGGGCCATTTGCTATAGTTCGAGACAGGTTGAATCCTAAAGCATCGTCCATCTCTTCTAAGAATGGTCTGGCCGTGTTAGGAAAATTGTCAACCCAGGAGTTAGCCATTCCCACACGCTGTACGCCATGACCTGGACCTATATCAGCATCAGGAATAGGGATCTTTGGGACTATATGGTATGACAAACCGGGAAAGAATAGAGCTGTGTGCAATTTTGTTGTGGTAGAGTGCGGAGCGATACTTTGGCGATGGGGGCTCAGCCTCGAGATTGATCGACCACAGACATAGCGGATGACAGTGGTGTATCTCGGACAGAGGAATAGCAACATGATTTAGTGGTTATAAAAGCATAATAATCATTTAGGCTCGGAACAAACATATTGGATATAATATGTGAGCATTATGAACGGTGTCTTCTAGAGAAGTATTATGACACACGAGCGTCCGATGGGTAAGATACTGTTGATAAAGAGCCAGTAGATTCTAAGGCTTCAGTCAAGTTAAAATCATGTGATTACAAGCAAAAACATCACAACAATATGGTACCTCTGTTTGTACACCGTACTCGCAATAAATAGTTACATCCGCTATAGGCTTGTAAATTTACTACTTATGTTGATGAATATCCACTGATTATTATCCAAGGTATCTATCATGAAAGTAAGGTACCTATTACGCCATAATACTGATTTTCTCAAAAGGAACAGATGCAGCAAACTGCGAAGTCTTAACTAGGTACTATCGTTGCATATTATTAAATTGCTTCTTGCCTCATTGTGATACTGAACTCGTAACGTACCCCTTGTAGAACCGAGAGTTGACTAATATCTCTATAGCCTTTGCAAGGTTAGTAATCAACATGTTTATTATGTACAAAACATACCACACAGGAACTGTTCCATAGAAGCATATCCATGTCTTCTATCCGTACCTATGTTCCGTCCGTCCTACGGACTATTCGGAGTACTGAATTCCTTCTCAATTGGTATCCGTGTTTGATATGTTTGACATCCAATGTGGAGCTCACAGGGCACCTGACCGCCTTCTCATATCTCCCTTGGCATTGTACACCAAACTCAGTACATAGTTTGTTTTTGCTTATTGTGATATGAGGAGCGGTAGGTCTTGTTGCACCAGCCCTGCTGTCTCTGAGTCCTACTCCTCGTGATCGACCTTACTGCTTCATGATTGCCACCTATATGCGTGTACCGGATTCAGCAACAGAGATCATTATTCTGTCGTCATACATCACAACCTCCCTGCAACTATGTTCGTACCCAAAGCAGGACTCTCCTCCGTGGCCTCGTTGCGCAACCCACGAAGACGTCAGCGCACTAGCTCTGATGAGTATGTGAAGCAACCGGATGCTAAAAGACAACGTTCTGCGCTGCGGAGTGAGAGTCCTGGGCGTTCCTTGGAGGCTCAGTCAGACTGTAAGAAAGGATTACCAAGAGATCTAGGACTCGACACCGGAGATGAGTCCGACCCAACGGTTGCGAAGAAACCTGGCGTGCAAAGATCTTTACCAGTGAGATCATTAAATGAACTGAAGCGACCAGCAAACGAGGTCAACGCAGCTGTTGTGCTTGTAAGTCTGACATGTGTCCAAAGCCTCAAGATTCTGGCCTTCCCTTGTTGTCCTCGCCGGGTGTTGTCTAGTTCTTCATTAACGCTAAAGATCTTTAAAGTCCAAGACTGATTTCTACACGGTCTCTCAACTTCCTGCTTTCCCGGACCAGATTCGAGGCCTACCTTCAGGCAAGTTATGGACATGCCCGTCTCAGCCAGTGTATTAATTTGTTTTTGTAGATTTTCGAGGTATTTTCGGGACAGCGAATGGCTATGCATTGGCCTTGACGGCATCGCATGCTATTATTTGGCCATATTCTCCCTCTGCATCAGCATCGTCCCCCTTGGATGTCTTTACACTTACAATTCCTGAATCTTGCCGAGAATCTCATGGTGCACCCCCCCTTGGGGTTTTCCTTTCTTCCGCAAATGGCGAAATACCAGGCTTAATGGTAGTCATGCCGTATACAGGAAGAATTATCTACTGGGAGACCATATCGCATGCTGGATCCCTTGGGCTACCAAGACAAAGACAAAGTGGGCTTCAAGGTCACCTACCTGGCTTGCTCCCAGGTGAATATGTTAGTGATGTGATAAACTGCGAGCCCTCCGGTGTAATTGTCACGTTTTCATCGGGGAGGGTCGCTCACATTACCTTCAGGGATTCTCAAGGAAGGCCGAACGTGATGGCCAATTTTCTTCGGAATTCAAGCAGCAGTAGTGGGCTACTGAATGGCATAAAAAGCGTCTTCAGTGGTGGTTGCTGGAGGAAGGATGTCGCTGCAGTAAAGGCTGCCCGTTCGCATCAACGAGGGCAGCGGGACATCATTGTTGGCACGACGACGGGAGTTTTTGAGATCTGGGACACCCATTGGAGTAACGGGAGCATAATGAAGAAACAGTTTGATATCAGACAGGATCTGTGTCGCTCTTTGGGTCGAAAGCACACAGAAGCGGCCGGTGATACTGATCTAAAGATCATAGATTTTGCCCTTATGTCCTCTGGAGATGATGCGCAAGGTTTACAGCATAGTGGAGCGGAGTCGTGGCGGCTTTGTCTGGTTGTGGCGCCTTCCCGGGAGACAAGTCGTCGATGCATATCTGTGGTGCAGCTCTTGCTTTCAGAAGAAGTTCATGTCTTGGCTGCCAATTCCATAGACTTGAACTTTTCTCCGACATTGTCTGACGCCCCGCAGCCCAACATCAAGTTACATGTAGCCACAGTGAGCCAGACAGCCTTTCTTGTGATTGGCCAGTCGGTGTTACTGCTCTCGTTGGTTTCATATGGTGACTCGCCCACCTCACAACTTTTACTAGACTCCGATCGACTTCCCTCTCCTTTCAATGACCATGTCACCTTTCGGTCCGGAGCTGACTACAAGCTACTGGGCAGCGGCTGTGAAGATGAACTGGGTGAAGGATCTTCCCCCGCATGCTTGGTCATGGTTCGAAATTTTGGCGTCATTCGAATCGCAGTGAGGCCTCGACAAAGCGCAGGCAGTGAGATTGAAGATGCTCAAATTACAGCTAAAACCAAAATCGAACAAGCCGTATTCTACGGCACGAGGCCAGGCAACCCACTCGATCTAACTGACAAAGGCGGCTTCGACTTCAGCTCCCAAGAGATCGAGGAAGCTGCACTTGAGATTTGCGGAGAATTGCTGCGGTCTACCTCTCATTATATTCCCGCCACGTCGTTCACTCTAGATCAGAACTTGAGATTACGAGCAAAAGCTCTAGATGATCTTGCAAGTCTGTTACTGCAGCATAAGAAACCTTTGCGTCGTCAAACCTGGTACGAGCTACTGTGGAGTGCGGAGAAACTTGCTGCACAAAGAGCCCTGTGGAAGCTTGAGGATAAGGCGAGGCGGGCAATGGGCCAAGGGAATACGTTTTTGGCTCATGTGATTGGGTCGATGAATGAAAAATTCAAAACAAAATCCGAGTATCAAGAGGACAAAGATAATGTGCGCGACTGGTTTCTTTTTGACACGTTTCGAATGGAACATATTATTCCCTGGATCTTCAAGGGGCTCAAACTTCAGAAGGGGATTTCTACGAAGCAGGGGCGGAGGGTATTAGAAGATATCGCGCAAGCCAGTGAGCTTTCCTTGGCCGTCTTGGAGACAGCTTTTCGGTTTCGTGATGAGCACGCTCGTCAGTACGGGCTTGAAGACGAGCACATGGAGGACGGCGTGTTGACGTCTGGCTACGATGGTCTCTCTGAATTCTGGACGTCTCAGGGTATCGTTTATCTTGAAACGGGACATCTTTTGGATCTAGAACTCGATACGTGTAGGGCATGGACCCAACAAACAACGGCTTCTTTGGATCTACGGGAGCAGCAGTTCGTCCGGCAAATTGCGGAAAACAGCGCCCGCCAACTTCGTGTGCTCAGTTTAATGCACTACGAAAGAGTCAGGTGGCTTTCCTCACAGGATGATCCCAAATCAGTCGATGAGGGCATTGAACTCGAGCAAACACATACCAAGCAGCGCAGGTGGCAGCTATTCAAGTTGGCTGGCATTGGGCAGCTAGAAGAGGCAATTTCTCTGGCGGAGAAATTCCAGGACATGGGTGCTTTGGTAGAACTCATTATTGAGCTTCAGGACCAGACATTGGCGGACTCGGAACATGCCGGAAATGTCACCAACTATGAATCAGAACAGCTCAGTAGGAGAATCTCAACGTACTTCGAGAAGTTCGGCGAACCCTGGGCTGATGCCTTCTTCACTCGCCAAATATCGATGGGTCAATCAGAGATTCTGTTCACGATGAGAAGGTTTCAACCTTTCATCAACCGCTTTTTGCACAAAAATCCGACCTACGCTCGTCTCTGCTGGATTAACGATGCGATCGGTGAGGACGACTATGAAGCGGCTGCTCGATCGTTGGAGACCTTGGCTCTTGAGCGTGAATCAGATCTGTGGTGTCATCGCGTTGAGTTGTCCTTGTCAAAACTTGCTACGCTAGCAGCCTGGGAAGAAAGCAGTGCAACTGGCAAGCCCATCCTTGGTAATGAAATAAGACGCCTCGAGGACTTGGCTGAATTAGACGCTGTCCAAGAAGTTGTCTATGCTTATATCATGCCAGCTTTGCAGGGCGCGATTGATCAAAAGGCTGAAACTGAACTAGCAATTGACCAGTTCGGAAAATTTGTGAATGACACCCCATCGCTCCACGAAGTACTATCTGTCTTGCTCACTAAAGTGATCAGCCGGCAAATCCTCGGGGTTGACCAGCTGATCGATCTGTTGACACTGATCGATGGCGGCCAGGTTTCGGAGGAAACCCAAAATGAATTCTTTGGCAAGGAATTCTACCTGGCTTTGCGGGTCATTCGATTGAACTCTTCCACCCAGGAGGGTCCGCTCTACCATGTCCCTCTGCAGAAGCTTGTGTGGCGCAGATGCATGATCAGAGACGATTGGCAATTTGAGAGAAATGCGGACAACACAGATCATCAATCTGAAGATCACATACACTGTGTCTCTCTTCTTCGAACACTCACTCTTTGTTTAAGAGATAGTAAGCATATCTCGCGGATTTGACTATCTGAATACTGATGAACTCAACTCGCAGAACACTGCGCGGATGCAGATCCTCGTTCACTCTATGTACCATCCTCGCCGCTGGATGTAGTGCTTAACGAGTCAGATCTCGATTTTATTTTGTCGTCATACCCTCAAGAGCAGCGCGGCAGGATTTGCCGCGATCTGAGCAGGGAAAATGATATACTTCGCCAACGGATTGAAGAGGGAAAACTCGAGTTCTGGTACAGGAAACTCCTTATCTCTGTGGAGGAGGCGGTTGCATCTTCAGCTAATCATTCAACTGGCGCTATGGTGCAGTTCAGCGATGGTCTACTGGCCCACTATTCGGGAACAGGAACTCCGTCCACAAAAGCGCAGTTGTCGTGGCTTTAATCATGTTTCTCGTTCTCTGCAATACTTAGGGATAAACACAGCGGCATGATACTAATGTTCAATGGTTGGGCTGTACAAAGGATATAAGTCTGCTATTTCTGGCTCAAACTCGCTCCTGTAAAAGAACATCCTTATTATAGGAATCCTTGGGGCTGTATCCACACGCGGGCTGAGTCTGCTCTAAATTTGTAAGTATTCTGTTTACACTGATGCTCCGTTCGTCTGTTCAGATTCGTGAATTACCGAGGCTCCCAGATTACAGATGTCAGCGTCAGCATTTGCAAATATTCTTGATGGGTAATGTTCATCTAGCAACGGTATAAAGAGCCTGTGAGCGTATTGATTTGGTATTATAGCCTTTCATTTCACTACTCACTCCGGTACCGGTCCATCCGCCTCAGTTAATCCTATTATGGTGCCTTGACAACAGTGTATCGGCACTAATAACAGGTTATCACAGATTCCGCCCCCTCTGTCTGGTCTTAGATGTCATTGCTGTTAGTTTGACCACTTTCATTTCGGTCGTGGATCGTCGAGTCACCATGCTCGACAGAGTCATTCCGTGGACCGTGCAGGCGATGCTCAAAGACTGGATCCGGTTCAATGGTCTCGAACTTCGTTCTAAAACCCGCCATGCCTTGGCTACTGCTGTTTGAATGGCGACGAGCGTTCGTGAAGGTATAATCATAATCTTGGACTTCCTCGCCAGAGCGGCCCCTTGCGCACTGTTAGGCGGTGTTCTTGTATACAACCCAATGATGTAAAAGGACAACTGAAGCTATATGACAGGGACACCAACCAGTTTCCCTTTCCTCCTCCGTCTTTTTTCGTCTTTTTAGGATCAGCATCAATGGGCCCGGATTTCGCAAAATACCGAGGGATATGCTCAAGTGAGGCTGCCATTCCGTCACTAAGTCCTGAGTGATCCCGGCCGTTGAGCTTGTGTGAACGCGTCACTGAGACTTGCATTAGCATACCTCATCACATTGACATTGACCAATGGGTAACCCTTGTTCCAACAGATATCCTCTTTCATCAGGGTATCTGTGTGTTGAGAATTGCTTACTATTATAGAGAAGCTATTTGAGCGGCTCTTGATCGGACTGGAAACGGATTGGGCAGTACACTAGGAGGTAGGAATATAATATCAGTGAAACAGAGATACCGAACCAATGGATGGTGTGGGCTGTGGATGTGTTTGAATGCAGAAAACAAGAGTCAAGTATTCAGACCACCTGCATCTGTCTAACCGTACCATGGGCATACCTTGAAGTCCCTTATAAGGTTTCTGTTACGAACGAACGAACACAGATAATTCCAGAGGGACGGAATGGTTATTATGGACAGATTAGTATATGGAGTCTAACCCTGATCGAATACAAGAGCAAATCCAAACTTAGGCGATAGTCTCGTATAGTTAGAATCTCACTGAACCAAATCGATACAAGAACGATGATGCTCAATCCAGTTGGAGGGTTGGAGCTCGGATTTGTTGTTTAATTTATAGCATCTAGCTTTAGCTAGAACACCCCATGACCTCATACATGATAGTAAAACGCGGGGTAAGGACATCCTAAAGTAGTAGTCTATACCCACTTAGCCATAGAAAGGCAGTCCAGAAAGATAGCAATCATCCAATGATAACCCAAAGACAAGAGAACCTGCTAGATGGTGGAGAGATTGGGTAATGAAGTAAACCCCTTGTGCCAGGTCCAATTTAAAAAGTAAAGTTGCGCGAATTTGATTTGAAAACGCGCCAAGAACTGACACCAATTTTGAATACGCTGGATTAACCCACACGCTGGGATAAGTTTCATCTCCTCTTGTGTCAGCTCCGCATATTGTGGTTATACTTCCTTTCCACCCTATGGAGGCCTTGTGCCTCCTATTCTGTTTCCCATTATTTCTAAGGTATGTAGGGATCTGCACCCTATTGAATTTTCACAGTCCAGTAGTTCTAGGTGACTAGCTCGCAAGTTAGCACCACCTGGTGTAGCGATGCTGGGTATGCTAAATACTACATAATATTATGGCTCTTTTTTACAGCTATGGCAGCTGAGTGTATATTAAATCATTAGGGGCTCCACCATGGGAAAGTGCGCCAGTAGCAAAACTTATTTATGCCGTACTAGCTAACACATTACTAATTATTCCTTAATTGCCTAGTAAAGCCGCCGCTTCTGTGGACGGGTCTTCGTAAACACACCCGTGATACAACCAGCCAATACTTATCACAATGTCCCAAGCAAACAAAGATGGGTTATCCCCGAATTATATGCAGGTAGGTTCTATAATATCATCCGCACTCGTATTCAGGAAATGAAGCCTTGAACAATGTTACTGCAAAACCATGGCACATGAACCTGGAAGAGTCATCAAATAGACCCCACCAGAGTGCTAACAGTATCCAGGTCTTGAAGGATATCTCTTCGTACGTGGTTCCACCTGAGACTCGAATCCGACAGACTTTTCTGACCTCTGTAAGGGGTGAAAAAGCAGCTGAAGCACTGGAAGACCATTTGACAAACCTGGAATCCCAGCTGGACAGGCTCCTTGCTGCCATTGAGAACAATAAAGAATCCCAGGAGTATGATGGCAATAGCAATCGTCATACAAAGGGAAATTTCACGAAGCCGAGTTATCTATGAATAGCCGCTCCAGATGAAATTGACCATCTGTTTCCTTTTCGATGACGCCGACTTCAGTGATGATGCCGTCGATGAGTGTCGAGGGAGTAACATCGAATGCTGGATTCCAGACGTTGATACCCTTTGCAGCAATGTGCACAGTTTCTAACTTCACGATATCAGCTGAATGATCTCCATCGACAGGCCCTTTGATTTTGGTGACTTCAGCTGCTGGCCGCTCCTCGATGACGATATCTTCACCCGATTTGGTGCCGAGATCAATTGTCGTGAGTGGCGCGGCAACAAGGAATTTCACGCCGTGGTATTTGGCTAGTACTGCTAAACCATATGTACCTATTTTGTTGGCAGTATCTCCATTGGCTGCCACTCTGTCCGCCCCAACCACGATTGCGTCCACTTCAGCTTTCGTATTAGCAAGCAGTGCAGCTACCATTGAGTCGGTTATCAATGTAGCAGGAAGTTTATCATGGACAAGTTCGAAAGCTGTCAGGCGGCTGCCTTGGTTGTAAGGTCTAGTCTCGGTGCAATATGCATGTTCCAGGGCCATTTTTGAAGCCAACGCTCGTATCACGCCCAGGGCTGTTCCATAGCCCGAAGTTGCAAGCGAGCTAATAAATCCATTCAGTACTCAGATAACACAATCATCAAGGCAAATGCTTACCCAGTGTTACAATGCGTCAGAACTGTAGCTGTTGACTTGCGTGCTGCAAGTGCATGCTTGATAATCCACTCAGCACCATTTTTACCAATCTTCATATTATCGTCCAGGTCCTTGGTCATCATATCCTCTGCGGCGCGGATGAAATGCTCCGCAACAGTACGCCCAGTTGCACCAGGGGTATCCGCATGATCTGAAATGGTTGATTCGAGTTTGCGAGCAGCATCACTGAGATTGACAGCAGTCGGTCTGCTGCTCACTAAGTAATCCAACTTTTCCCTGATAAAAAGTTTCACCTCTTCTGCTCCCGATGATAGTTTATCGTGGACTATGAGTGTATTTAACTCTGACGCGAGTGCAAGGGCTGCAACTATTGCAATGGCCGGTGCGCCCCTGACTCTCATTTCCTTGATTGCATGCCAGGCGTCTTCAGATGTCTGGATTGTAATGAACTTTTCCACGTATGGGAGCTGTAGCTGGTCAATGATGGCTAACTTGCCATGGCTATACCTGATTGCTTGTAACATCGATGTCATTGGTACTGCAACCGCCTTTGCTGGATCTGTATGGTAATTATGAGTATGGCGAGCAGTTGGATGAGGGGATTTTGAATGGGATTCTACTGGACACTAGACCAAATCTGGCAACTCTTATGTACCACATATTTTGCCATACATTCCTAGTCATGCTTGTGTGTAACTCAACCCATGCTCCACACCTAATTTGACTGTATGATTAATTAATCATGCCAAAGTTCTGTAACAGACCTTGGGGCATTTCTACAAGAGTGGTATGGCCGGCAAGCTGGTGTAGTGGTAGGACGCCAGCCGGGCATTCCTTCCGTATCCAGAAAGATAGCCCCCATTATCTTTGTGCCTACTAGGGGTTACAGGTTCAAATTCATTGCCAACTTGACATTCTTTACCACATGAAAGACCCATCAAGGTCATGTAGCTCCTTACCATACTAGTGCTTGGTGGTATAGTATGACCACATGACAAGGATGTGTATATCCATCTCCGCAGTATGAAGCACTTAGGAAAATCATTAACCTATGAACATATTATATCAATAGCTACTACTATGATAATAGGGTAGCATGTCCTAAATAATGATCTAGGACCCAGACGCAACTCCCCTGAACTTTTCTCTTAAGTCACCTTACTCTACTATCTTATTAAACTATAAGTAAGGATTTCCCTACAGGCTAGGCAGGCTAAACCCCAATATTATAGTAGTTATTAATACTATTAGATTTACCCCTAGGATTATTAGATTTATATATTAGATTATATTATACTACATAAACTTCCTTACATAGTTAAAATCTCATAACCTTAAAAGCTGTCTATATTATATTACTATATTGGATTAATGTTCATTGCAATGGGAGTAGAGCTTTTGCATGTAAGGGTAGGGGTAGGCCTGCAGCTGCCCCTTGTACCTGTCATATTAGTATTAAAGGGTTCTAGTCCCCCCTCCTCCCTTTTATAATTCTACCTAAGCTATGAAGGAGAGTGATGATCTAATAATTACATACATAGTAATAATAATCACTAGATTCCGCCATATGCTTATAGATCATATCGAACCTTGGGGGTAGCTGTCGATATCACACTATATAGTATTTAATTTATTATACCCTAGGATCTATCTCTACTATTCTCTACTAGTTAACTACTTTAGGAACAAGGTGCTAAAGTCCCTGGACTTATAGCCTATACTTACCTAAGGTCTACTAACTAGGTAGCCTAATAATATAATAATATAATAACCTTCTAAGGGTTAGGA